TAATAATAATAATGTCCTTTCTCCCTGGGGATTTATGTACTCAAAAAATACTTCTGTGTGCTGGGCACTGTTCCAGTTAATTCAATCCCCCCAACACCCCTATGAGGTAGGAAGTAGCATTAGCTCCTTTTACAGATAAAGAAGCCAAGGCACAGCTGTGAGCTAGGGGCTCTAAATCCACAATGCTAGAGCATGACTGAGTTATGATTCTCACCTGGACAGTCTACAAAATAAACTCTTTGCCACTACACTTAGCTAACTTGAGCCTACCTGCCTCATTAGCTGTTCAATGACACAGCTTAGATAGTCCCAGTTAGATTCTGCTTCTCAGTATCATCCGAAATTGGTACCTCTTAAATCTGCCTGCTCCTTTTAATCTCATACAAGCCTTCAATACTTTCTCTGGCCCAAACTAGAGCTCTGGCCCTATAACTCATCTCTATACCACCCATCAGCCTTCACCGAGGGCCCTGCTCTATATCTTTTCCATATTCCCTGGCACAAGCTACATATTCACATCCACAGCCTCCCCTCAGCAAACGAGGATTAAAGTTCAGGGTCTAGAGTCAGACAACCTACAGCTCCCCTCTTAGTGTACAGCCTGGGGCGAACTGCTGAACTTTTCTCAGCCTACTGCCTCCTCTGTAACTAGCTCATCCAGATGGGACTCAAATGAGCCTCTTTAAACACTTAGCTCAGTGTTTAAACTATACTCAGATGATAATGTTATGCCAACTTCCCCATCAAGAACCACCTCTGGGGGCTGGGGATTTAGCTCAGTGGCACCACGCCTGCTTTGCGGAGGCAAGGCCCTGAGTTCAATCTCCACCCCCTTAAGGGGGGCGCAAAGACCCACCTCTGTCTCACAGAACTTTGTCACACTTTCCAAAAGAAGCAACCTGTGTACTCTACACACCTGGTGTTCCTCTACCTTAGCAAGCCTGGCCTCCACACTGCCACACGGCTGTCCCAGGTATACATCAGCTCTTCCTGAAAACAGACTCCATGCTCTGTAGCTCAGGACATCCCCTAAAATGTGCCACAGCATCTTTCCTGCAGGGTGCAGTCAAGGGATGTGAATCATTTCCACCTCTGCTTAGAAGAGGCCCACAAAGATCAAGAGGCTGCAGTCAACTCCTGGAAGGACAGGCCCTTTCCAGAGATGGGAACCTTATTTCAAGGCAAATTCCCTCTCATCGGTGCCAGGGCTGTGGAAGACACACACCAAAGCTGCTAGGTAAGCAACAATTATTCCCAGGGAAAAAGCAAAGGAGGTCAAGTTAAAATCCTAAACATGGTATAAAGAAAGTTCTTCTTTCCTAACAAGTCTTACAGGGCCAACATCTACTGTGCCTTCTGTGGCCAGGAGGGGAGTCATGAGAGCACTAAAGTTACCTGGGATCATTTTGATAGCTGTGTTCACTTCATTCCATTTGTGCACCCGGTCAAACTTCCAGTCCAGGATAAAATTCCCGTTATCTGTCACCACAGGACCCTAGAAGACAGAAATGTATACACAGGTAGGCAGAGAAAGACAGGAAAGTGAAGCCAGATTAGCAGGCTCCAGGTGCTCCCACTCTGCGCCTCCTAGAAGGTAGTGGTGTGAAGCAGTACGGAGCAGGAGCTTCAGAGTCACAAAGTCTTGGATTTGAGTATTAATGCCACATGGGTACGAAGTTCAGAGAAACCATCACCTTCTGTGAGCCTCACATTCCACAAGTTTAAAAGGAGGACAATGACGCGTACATCACAAGACAGCTTATATGAACATGGTGTGCACAGGCATTCGCCACAGTGAGGCCCATGGCGAGGGCTCAACAAGTCTGAGCTACTATTACAGGGAAAAACCACAACAGAACCTATTACCAATAAGCCACAATGCTCTCAAAGCCTCACATTAAGCACCATCAATACTATAAATCAGGACAATGCCACTTTACCTATCACAACTTCACCCTGATCGCGAAGTTCCATCAAAAAGACAGGGAATGTGGACTCCAAAAAGGATGACATGCAAGTAAAAGGGAGACCTTCACTGGACAAGAGGAAGGGAACACACAGAAGGGCAGTGTAAGGGGGTGGGGGGATGGCTATGATCAGAACTTATTACATGCACATATGAACACACTACATTAAAACCTAATAGAGAATAAAATTAATAGGTACTGATAAAAAATATCTTTTACAAAAAGAGCAGAGGCAGAGGCAGAGACCACACAAGCAGGGGACAGTCACACATGATGACAGAACATCAAGGTCGCAGGCCAGCAAACAGACTCCCCTGCAGACTGGAGGAAGAAGCTAAGGGCTGGGGCTCCAGCCTGGGTGAACCCCCACTACGAGAAAGAAGCTCCTCCTGACCTCCAGATACACAGGGAGCCTCACAGCAAGAGTGAGAGCCTGTACAATCACTAGGATTAGGACTAGTGTTTTAAAAGTCAACATGGGGAAGAAAACTAGTCAAAATAAAAACATCAGAGTATAGTTACAAACCATTTCCTTCCTCCAGCCTCAAAATTTTACATATACACAGAACTATACTTTTGTTTTTTATTATAACCATTGCTTATATGTATATATAAAGTTCTTTGCAACCCACTTTAGAAGCTGAAAAGAAACATCTGGACTGAAGGGTCTAGAGTTGTATTCCTGAGGAGGTATTCATATAACCCAAGGACTAAAGGCCAGGTTTAGCAGCTGTTTATCAGGTGCTCCAGGCCTTAGGCACAAAGGTCAGGTGACTTGAGAAAAGTCTGATCCCAAGGAACAAGAGAAACAATCACTCCCCTTTTTGTACAGGGGATAGGCAATGTGTTAAGTGGGGTCTTAATCTACATGACTGAATAAAGAAACAAAGAAAGCCAGTTTCCTAAAAACAAACATTAAAAATAAATGAAGGCTCCAGAGGTCCACCAGAAGCAGAAAGGAGAGCAGCACGATGAAAGCCTGAAAGGCCTCCAGAAACCTCCCCGGCCACTTACTGCCTTGTTGACAGCCATCCGAAGCTCAACTGCACCCCCAAACTTCCGGGTCACAGCTCGGCTTACTGGGACATAGGCCATTGGGATGACCTCAAGAGGGATCCCCTTGTGCCACTGATCCCCAAGGTTCTTTGAATTTTTCCTAGGAAGAAAGAGGCAAAAGGCATAGTAAAATTAAATAAACTCAAAGGTACAAACACTAAATCTAGCTAGGCGTGGTGGTGCACACCTGTAATCCCACAACTCAGGAGGCTGAGGCAGGAGGATCGCCAGAGTTCTGAGACCAGCATGGGCTACATAGTGAGTTACAGGTCAGTCTCAACTACATAGTGATACCCTGTCTCAAACAAACAAACAAACAAACAACAACAACAAAAACACTAAATCCAAGAATAGAGTAAACCATGTGGTCGGAGGACAAAACAATGATCAGAATAGCATGCACAAGGCTTCAAAGGTATTAGATGCTTTATTATTTAAGAGACAGATATTTGAAATAAATGTGATAAAAATGTTAAAATTTGATATGGTTGGCTTATAATATTTATTTTAATGTATTTATAAGTATAGGTATTTATTATTTATGTTCTCCCTACAGCTACAATATTTCATAAATAAATACATACACATACTTTATCTTAGTTAACACACTCGGCCCAAGGACCTCCCTTCTCCCAGCTTCCTTGAAGGAAGACCTGAGAGCCCAGCAGGCTGTTCAGAGCCTGAGTCACAGGCAGCAGCCCTGACCCCAGAAGAAGTGGGGCATGCTGAGTCACTGCCTTGGCTCCCTGTGAGGACGTAATCAGCGACACAAGGACGAGCTCTGCTAACAGTGACAAACTACTTCCTCTCTCTCACCACAAACAAACAATGGCACTGCTAATCCTGTAAGAGTGCTGTGGTCAATCAACAGTGCCCCTTCAGCATGGAAGCCCGGAAGCAGGACTGAGCCCTCAAACACACTGCCTAAATCCTCGCCACCAGCCTCAGAAATCCAGGCAGTCCCTCAATTCCCCTCTCTATGTTCAGGGTAAGGAGTAAGTCCCCAACGCTGCCTTCTCAGCAGACAGCTCAGAACACCCAGCACCCTACCTGAAGTCAGCGATCACGATGAAGTGACTGGCATAGCCAGCCACAATCTTCTCCTGGGTTAGGCAGCCCCTAAAGGTCAGAAAGAAGCCAGGTAAACACAGGAGTAAAGCTCACATCTCCTTTTGGGGACTAAGGCCAGATACAAGAACCCCAAATCTGCTCTATCCTAGCACTTACAGAGAAATATAACCATAAGAGCCATCCTCAATCCTGTCGTGCTACTTCTAGTAAATGGAACAACAGAAACACAAGTCTGTATCTAGAAGAAACCTAGAAAGTGGACAATGCATCCCATTCAGGCCAGGCAGAACGCCTTCCAAGATGCATGTGAGAAGCACTGTGTTTGCAAAAGCCTCCTGTGGACAAGGCCTGACAAGGGCCAGCTTTGAACAGCCTGCCCTGTGGACTGTGTGACAGGGTGATGGAGTGGAGAGAGCCCGGGCACTGAATCATCAGATCTGGTCCAGCCTATCTCTACTGCTCACCAGCCATGTTACCTCATATCTGCAGCCAGGAGGATTACACAACACACATGCAAATCTCAGATGGTAAAGTGAGGTTCTAAATAAACACTGTCATTCAATACTAATCTGCCTGACTGTTAAGAGCCAGCAAATCAGGATTTTACCTTTTCCACTCACCAGTCCCTACTCCTCAAAGTAGCACTTAATGTAAATAAGGACTAAAAGGTATAACAGATAAAAACATGCAAAGGGGAAATGGGAAGGGTAGGGATAGAAATGAAAGAAGGGAATGGAATTAACATGAGAAAAAGAAAAAGTGGAAACAAAGTCTTTGTATTTAGGGAGGGGTACAAGGATTGAAGGCAGGGCAGGGGAATAGAGAAAAAAATAAGAATCAAGATGGATTATGTAAAGGTGAAAATTTCCAATGATGAATGTCATTATATAAAGGGGAAATGGGAAGGGTAGGGATAGAAATGAAAGAAGGGAATGGAATTAACATGAGAAAAAGAAAAAGTGGAAACAAAGTCTTTGTATTTAGGGAGGGGTACAAGGATTGAAGGCAGGGCAGGGGAATAGAGAAAAAAATAAGAATCAAGATGGATTATGTAAAGGTGAAAATTTCCAATGATGAATGTCATTATATTGTATACCTTAAAGGTATAAATAAAATTAATTTTTTTTTAAAGTAGCACTTAAAAAGCACCAATAAATGTCTTTCAAATGAATGAATGCTCACAGACTAAGAGCAGCTTCAAGGCAAAGGTCACACTAGGACGCCCACAAGCCTACAATCTACCTGACAGGAAATATGCTGGTTTACCTTGCAGTGATTAAAAGCCTGAGTCAGAGAAGAATGCAGACACTACCATCTCACTGCAGAGGCCAAGGTTCCCAGTCACCAGACTGACACTACTCACCAAACATCAAGGTAATGCAAAAAGTCATTAAAGTCAGGGTAGAAAAACAAACTCACATACACGGCGGTGACAGTTCAGTAATTCTCTATTCCATTTTCTTTTCTAAGGACACACTGGAGTCTTTAGAAATAAAGTTCCTACAACACTCACCCACCGCCCTTGATAAGGTTGAGATCAGCATCTACTTCATCAGCACCATCAATGGCGAGGTCGATCTGTGTCAGGGAAAGGAAAGATACAAGACCTCTGAGCATCTCATGAGTGGAGCCACCATACTGAGTCTGGCCATGTAGTGACAGGTCCTCTGCAGCCCTATTAATGAGGTCCAGTTTCCCACTTAACCAACCACAGGCCTGAGGCTCCAAGAGATTAGGGTGCTTCACTGGGGTCACAGGGAAAGAGCTCAAGGTTTGGGACACAAAGCTTAGTGCATGCCTTCCCAATACAGATAGCATCACTCCCAGTGAAGTAAACACTTCCTGGGACCAAGAAGTAATGGCAAAGAAACCCTTCCACATTATGATATTCAGCCCTCTAAAGACCTCAGGTATATAAAGAGATATACAGTGTACCTGTAGTATTAAAAATTCCATGGGGAAGAGGGTGTCAATAATGAAAAAGCAGAAACACTGATTCAGAGATTGGGTACTAAGTGGGCAAACACAGGCAATTTCAAGTAGACAAGAAGGTTAAAGGAGTTTATAAGGAAGCCAACACATACTGGGTATGTTCTTCAATGAGAAACTACTGCAGGCATTCCCACTAAGATCCCACCAAAGCCACTGCCTGGTCTTGCGCTGTCCCTCTAGTAGGAGGCTCAGCTGCCAGCCCCCAAAGCAGGCAAGGGCTAATGGATGTGTTCATCTATCGAAAATCAGAATGGAGGAAGCTGGCTTTCTCACCCCTCACGGTACTCTGTATGGATAACATGGAAACCCATCCTATTCGTGTTGCAATCGCTTGATGTGGCTGGTGTGGCCTAGTAAGTTTTATGCAGGGAACCCTTGTTCCCATTCTGAAGTTGCAGCTTGTACTGTTCCTCCCCTGGCCTCTATTAACCCTAGGCCTAGGCTGCGCTGGGGCAGTGCTCCAGGACCTGGAAGACACCTCCTTGTCTGGAGGACCCACCTTCAGCCCAAACCACTCTCCTCACAGCTGCAGAGTAGCCTGTGCTCCAGCTCTGCCCACAGAAAGCCCATAAACTCTTCCCATGGTTCTTACTAACCCTGAGGTCCCATGAGCCACATGACGTAGGTCATTAGACCACACCAAATCCCCACTCCCTTGGCTCACTATGCACCAATGCACTCCACTCACTTAGTCCATCAAAGTCTGAGCACTGCTCACATAAGCTTACAAAGCTCATAATCCCTACCTACTTCTCAGCAAGGTGCTCTCCTGCTGCTGCCCCACAGCCTTTATAGCTTTGCTCAAACTACCTCTTCCCTGAAAACTCTTTTACCACTGCCCTGGGACAGAAGTGCACTGGGTTCTAAATCTGGCTCTGCCACTTAAAGTATGGCCTTAAACAAATGACTTACCTTCTCTGTGCGTTCTTCACATCCATAAATTGGGATAATTATGGTACCCACCCTCCAGGCTGCTGGAGATTAAGATCTTAGTAAAAGAAGAGCACTTAGCACAGTATCTGATACATAATAATGCTAGCTAGGTGTGTGATGCAGCTCACTCTTATCACTTCCTGAGGCTCTGGACTGCCCCTGTATTTAGTAGTCTCTTCGGCAGAATTTAATCACTTTCCAAATATGCATGTCTGCCTCTGATGATGACCTCTCCTCTCCACTCCAGTGATGAGCTCCACAGCCTGCCCTCAGGTGAAAGCAAGCCCTGGGCCCAGCACTGGGCTTCTCCACTCCCCTCCACCCTCATGCAGAGCCCTCAGGGTCGTCACAGTGAAACTGGAAACCACTTCTCCACTTAAGACTTTAGCCAGAATTAATACTCAGGATCTCAGCAGAAAAGTTAGTAGGACTCACTGGTCTTATCCCTAAACTTGCCAAGACATCCAGAACTCATGAACAAGTGACAGGCACAAAAGGAGAAAGGCATAGTAGTCGCTCTCTTACCTCTGGGTGTCGATCCAGGTCACTGAGTGTTAAGCCGTGCTGCAGGATGAGCTGCCGGGCCTGGGAAGCACAGGAAAAAGCTCCCATCATCATTTGCTCTGAACCCGTGGCAAGAGAGTCTGAGAATATTTTTTGTAATAAGAACCAAACAGGTGTAAGGCTGGAACATGCCCTTTCTCAAATCTCATCCTGCCCTGCCAAGAAGGAAGAGACAGCCCCACCAACAGCAAAGCCAACTGCCAATTACTTCATCCTGGGAGCTAGAAGAGGCAAATGGCAAACAGTGAAGCCACATTACAGGGTTGAGCTATGAGTCTTAAACTGGGACTTGCTGCTTCAAACAATGTCATGCCCCCCGCAAAACTTCTCTAAGATAAGAACCAAATGTACAAAATATTCAAAAAATTTGTAGAACAATGCAACAAAAAAAGTTTGATGATAACAATGAATTGACAATGATTTCAAGTCCACACTGTTGGGGAAAACCTAGCAAAGGAATCACACATACTCAGAATGAGTCTACAGAAGCCAGGCTTCTGGAATAGTTAAGTGAGAAACTTGAAAATTTAGAACACCAGACGAGAAGAGATTTATTTTAGGGTACTTCTGAGCAAAGCACCATCTACTTTAGAGTCATGCCTCAAAGTTGGCCCTGAACAGGAATCCCTACTAAAATAATGGTACGTGAAGCTTTGCAATCATCCACCCAGGTCTACATGACGAAGTTTTGCATTCACATCATTATTTGTAATATACAGAGAAACCAAGAGTGGAAAACGTTTTCCCCAAAGGCATTCCTTCAAAATATTTTCTGCTTAAAGTGAAAAGCACCCAGATTCAGCTATAAATTCTAATCTAATCTTGAATAACTAATGCAGAGAAAGGGAATTCTTTTTTTTTTGGTACCTGGGATCAAACTTAGAACCTTGTGCTTTCAAGGCAGGTGATGGCACCAGAGCTAAATCCCCAGCCCAGACAGAACTGTTTTACAGTATTGATAAGAATGTAAGACAGTACAACCATTGCAAGAAATATGGAGATTCCTTTAAAAAATATATATATGTGTGTGTGTGTGTGTGTGTGTGTGTGTGTGTGTGTGTGTGTGTACTGTTATCACACTGTACATCAAAAATATATATAATTATGCACAGTTAAAATTAGATAAACTTGCCACAGGGTCTTGATAAGTTTTCTCCTCTTTTAAGAAGATAAAAATTGGAGCTAGGGTCATGGAGCAGTAGCACAGTGCTTGTTCAGCCTATGTGAGGCCCTGGGTTCACATCACAAAGGAGGAAGAAAGAGAATGAAATGACCAAGGCCAGCCCTCCAATCCAAAATCCTATCACTCTGAGAATAAAATACTATGTGTAAGTTTTGTTATACATTTTGTAATTTGGGATTCTGAGTCAAACAAAATTTAAAGGATAGCCGGGTGTGGTAGAGTACACCTGTAATCACAGCACTTGGGAGGCTGAGGTAGGAGGATCACTGGAGACCAGCCTGGGCTGCATAGTGAGTTCAGCTCAGTCTCAACTACATAGTGAGACCCTGTCTCAAAAAAAGGAAAGAAGGAAAGAAAGAGAGAAAGAAAGAAAGAAAGAAAGAAAGAAAGAAAGAAAGAAAGAAAGAAAGAGAGAGAGAGAGAGAGAGAGAGAGAGAGAGAGTGTGTGAGTGTAATGTGAACCCTAGGTTTTTATTTGATGCTATTAAGGATACTTTTAACTTTTAAATATTGTTGTGATATTTAGAAGATGCCTCATTTTTCACAGACATAACAAAGTACATATAATCAAATTATGCTTAGAATTTGTTTCAAAATAATGGGGATACAAAGGGATTAGATGCAAACAAAACAGGACCGGCCACAAATTGATAACTGAAGCTTTATGGTTAGCGCCGTGAAATTTATTTTATTATTCGTTATCCTTCTTGAAGTTTGAAATTTCTCAGAATAAAAAGCTAAAATAAAATGCTGACTGAAATATGTTTAAAACAAAAAGCTCATTGCCTGGCATGGTGACATGTCTATAACCATAGCACTCAGGCAGGAAGATCAAGTTCAAGGCCAGCCTGGGCTACTTAACAAGACTATCTCCAAAAATAAAAAAATAATAATAATAAAATTAAAACCTCACAATTTTCTTTTTATTAAAGAATAATATAAAATAAAGGGATAAATAGAAATAAAAATAGTACAAGCCGGGAGTGGCGGCACACGCCTCTAATCCCAGCACTTGGGAGACTGAGGCAGGAGGATTGCTGTGAGTTCGAGACCAGCCTGGGCTACACAGTGAGTTCCAGAGCAGTCTGAACTACATAGTGAGACCCTGTCTCAAAAAGCCAAAAAATAAAAATAGTACGTGTAGGAACTAAGAAATAATCCAACCAAACCATTCATACTTCTTTGTTTAAAGCAGGACATCATCATCCATGCCAATTGAAACTGGCCTGCTTAATTAAGAAAATGCTATTACCCCTTATTCTGATTTCTTGGAAGGTCAGATAACAACTTAAGTTTCAGTTTTTCACCAAGAGCTGAGAAGCAGCAGCCTCAGAAGGAAACACTGCCAGCACCTTGATCTTGGACTTCCAGCCTTCAGAATTAGAAGCCAAGAAATGTCTGGTTTAGGACTGGGGATTTCGCTCAGAGGTTCAACTGGCTGCCTTGCAAGCCCAAGGTCCTGAGTTCAATTCCTGATACCAAAAAAAAGAAATGCCTGGTTTGTAGGCCCACTCAGTTGTGGTACTTGCTGTGGTCAACACACTGGCTTTCATAGCACACACTTACTGCGGGAGTCGCAACCCATCACCAGCTCAGTCACCACAATGCAGCCTCAGGTCAGCTGCTGGACCCCACGTTTCCAGCAGGGGAGCTGAGGGGTCTCCCAAAGGTGTGAAGCAAACATGCTGGTCCTTCTGGCCAGAGGCTGGAGCGAATGACCAGAATGTGCTCCTAAAGAGAAGAAACGCTTTCTTGCTGCAGTCTCACAGCTGTGCCTCCAAATCAGTGGCACAAGGCAGGCAAGTTAAGTGGTCTTCTTTCTAGTTCTCATGAACTTCACAATGAAACCTGAAAATGGTGCATTTTCCTTTTACCATCTAATGGAGGTTGAAATGAAGACAGAGTGAATAGTAAAAGGTGATGTGGGCTTAGATCAGATCTGGCTTACAAATGCTTTTTCTCTTCCAAAAGTCTTTAACTTTAAAGAGAAAAGCTACCAAAATTATTGAAATCCTTTTAGGTTTACTTGTTTTTAAAAATAGGGCAATGGGCTGGGTGCGGTGGCCATGCCTGTAATCCCAGCACTTAGGAGGCTCAGGCAAGATCACTGTGAGTTTGAGGCCAGCCTGGGCTACACAGCAAGACCCTGTCACAATAAAAGCAAAAATATTTTTATTTCCATTCAACCATTTCAGGAAATTCCATTTAGCTAAACTTAACTCAAAATAACTTTGGTCAATGGGGTAAGGAGAGTAACTAGATAAGTGAATTTTTCAAGACTTGTGAGCTTCAAATTACTCCCCTACTTAATGGGAATTGGCCAGCATTTTCCAGTCTAAATAGTATTATCAATTATCACTAAAAAACAGGAGGGTTAGGAGACTGTTAGGTTTTAAAAAAAAGCCAGCACAAACTCTAAAGATAGCAATTTGAACACCTAGTTAATGCTCAGCTTTCACCTAAAACCACCTTAAAACTGCAATAACAGAATTTTTCTTAATGGTATAAACCTGGCAAAAGAAAAGAGCAACAAACTTTTAAAAGCTGGGATATGATGGTTATACTATCCGCTGTCAACTTGCCTGGGCTGAGGGCTGCCTAGAAAGGTGGCAAAGCACACTTCCAGGTGTGTCCAGAAAGTACTGGCCATGGGCCATGCACAGTCCTGAATGGCTCGGGTCCAATGGAAAGAGAAAGCGAGGGGTTGCTCACTATAGGCACATGCTGCACTTTTGGAGCAGGTATGGGGTATTCTGCTCTGCTGTCAGACCTCAGATTGGGGCTGCATCGCTGATCCTCTAGATCTGAGGCTCCCAGCTTCTTGAACTAAGCAGCCAGCTACCAGTTTCCCTGGCTTTTCAGCCTGCAGACAGGCACTGTAGAACTATGTAAGTCCCCTCTTATCATTAATATATTCTACTGGTTGTTTCTGCAGAACGCTGTCTAGTATAACCACTAATGGACAACAGTAAACAGCAGAAATAAAGAGGCCCGTACTAGGCCCGTACTGAAGATAGCTACGAAAACAACCAAATCTACACCACAGAACTTCTCAAAAGATTCAGGAAGTGTTGTTACAAACAGAAATCATGTAAGACTGGTGCACAGTCTACTTAAGAACATGATATCCCTGAAAAAGGAAAAAGAGCTAGTCTTGGGACTAAAGGGCAAACCATAGCTGAGGAGAAGAATATTCTCAACCATGGAGTTTTCGCTACCTAGCAGCTAGCCTGAAATTCAGAGGCTTTACAGAAAGAGCACATAGTTATAATTTCTCAAGATTCCATGGACAGACTAGAAAGTGTGTTCGCCTAGGTGCTGTGTTAGAAGGCCCCACTCACTAGCCTGGAATGACTCTCCACATTGCTTCTCATCCCCCAGCCAGAGTCTAACCTTATTCACATGGTAGCAGAATATCCCAGTACCAAGAAAGGCCAAGGCCCAGTGCAAAAGTACTTTTCAAAGCTGGGCATGGTGGCACACACCTATAATCCCAGCACTCTGAAGGCTGAGGCAGAAAGATCATAATAAATTCAAGTCCTGCCTGGGCAATTAAGCAAGCAAGACCCTTTATCAAGAAGAATAAAAAGCTGGGAGCCAGGCATGTTGGCATGCACCTGTAATCCCAGCACTTTGAGAGGCATGGGCAATTTAGTGAGATCCTGCCTCATTTTGAAATTCAAAAAAATTTAGGGGGTGGGGCTGGAAACATGCTTAATACAAAGACTCTGGTTTCAGGCTCCAGTCCTGAGGAGAAAATGCAGTTTTAAAGCTTCTGCTGGTATCTCACTGGCCATGTCTCACTGGCAAACATTACATGAATACGGCCAGATTCAAGGAGCTCCAAGACTTATTATGGTGTTTTCAGCACACTGAAGGAAGATCACTGAAGGGTATGTGGCTCTGAGAAGACTACAAAAGGATCACACATCACAATGGTATGAAGCTCCTCAATAGCAAATTAAAAACTAAAAAGTCACAGAGATGTCTTCAAAATTTCAAAGAAATTTAAAATAGAATTCTCTAGAGTCAAAAGGACTGCCTGTGTCTTCTCTCACCCTCTATTTCTCAGTGTCTATGCTTCTTTCCGTATCTCCCCTGACCTTTAACTGGCTCCACTCTTTGCTCCTCCAGTTCCTATTTTATGATCAAAGAAGATGAGACATCAAATCAAAAGACTATACTTGCATTACTAATACCTTAATTGATTCCTTGTAGCCTCAAGATTTTTCACCTGAGAGTAGGGATGCTACTTACTGTATTCCTTGAGGACAGAGCCCTGTGATCACCTATGCATACTGCATAGTGCCTGAACTCAAGATCCATGGAAACATTCTTAGGATGAATAGATGAGCACATCTAAACCACATTTCCAAAGGACAGGCACCGGTCAACAAACTCCTGTCCTGTGCCTGGCCCTCTCACCTAGAACAATCCTGAGGTACAACACAAAGCCAGGCATCCACATCCTCAGGGAACCAGGAGGTTGAGCGGCAGCTGCCAAGGCTCAGAGCAGGAAGCAGGACTTACCTGGAAGGAAGTAGGAATGCAGACGACACTCAGGTTCTCTTCCTTCACTCTTTCAGCTGTGAAGACAAAAGTCAGAGTGCTGATTTTTTTCATTCTTCTCACTTTATTTTTCTTGACTCTTATCTATTTGTTCAAATTCTGTGTCCATCCCCAGGCATGATGAGAAAACTAATGGCAGGTACTACGAAACAGGGAGGTGAGCACTGGCCACAGCAACAGCGATGTTTTAATGCTTGCTATTTCTAGGAGTCTGGTGACAGGTTAAGAATTTTGTGTAAGTGAGCGGTATTAATCCTAACAACCCAAGAGGTAAGTTCTGATTATCATCTCTATTTTACTGACAAGAAACTGAGGCACAGAGAGGAAAAGTACATAACTTGGTAGTAACCTGGAAGTTCTAAGTGGCAGGACTAGAGTATGATTCTAGGCAGTTTAGCTTCACAGTGTTATAACCACTACCTTACATTGCCTTTTCTAAGACAGTTACAACTTTACTTTTGTATTTAATAAAAATACAATCTTTCACAGGCGCCAGAGGATAGTTAGAATGAATGTTTATTCATTTTGGATTTGTTTATTTCACTTTAAACTTTCAAGAAGGTTTAATTTTAAAACATGTTGTAAGCTGGGCATAGTGACACATATATATAATTCAAGCAGCAGAGAGGCTAAGGCAAGTTCAAGAGCAGCATAGGCTACACAGCCAAGACCGTTTCAAAGAAATCAAAAAGAAAAAATATATATATGTCATTTTAAAAAAACTTAAAATTGAGTCATTTTAATCTGCATCCTGAAGGTCTAGGTGCTGCTCTTATGAAGTCCACAGTAATTCTCAAACTCTAAAATTCTCCACACATGTGGTTAAGTAGAAAGGTACACAGCACTACAGTTCCTGCCTGGCCCTAAGAAGGCTCCCAGAAGCCATCACATCAACAACCAGTTCTCAATGACCAGGTGAACCTGAATTTCACCTCCTGGGCCCTGCCCCTTGGCACCTACAGAGACCAGCATTCAGGTAAATCCTTCCTCTGGGCTTTGTTTTTACAAAGAGCAGGGAAGTAGAACCAGTTGGGCAGCCACAGGGCTGATCTTCCCTGTGCCTTTCCTATACACAGTGACAACCGGACAACCCAATTGGAGTGTGGGCCTTTCCCATGTACTCCAGGGTCGAGGACAGGGCAAACCCACTGACTTTAACTTGTTTGTCTGAGGAATGCACAGGCTGCATAGGAGGCCTGAGACCACAACACAGGACCCCTGAAGTGAGTGCACCACACCATGACTGAAATTCTGTGGGACCTCATCTAAGTCAGCTCTCCCCAGCCTTCCTACCACCACCAACTGCATTCTTACCTCCTTCCAGGTCAGTCCTGCCTTTCACCACCCCCCCTACCACAAAAGCAGAACAGAGTAAACAAAGGCAAGGGTACCCCCAAAGCCCAAGAAAAGCCTGAGAAAAGCAGAACTGCACTCAAATGACCTTAGGCAAGCCGTCCCCACTCCCCAGCTCCGTACTGCTGGAGCCAAACTGTGCCCCATTTCCTCCCCTCTTCTTTCCCTACCCTGTCACCAGATACAAAGCACACAGGCTGAAAACATACCTATTTGCTGCACAGCATGGACAATTGTAGAGCCACTTCCAATTCCCAGCACTTGGTTATTCTGCCAAAAAAGGGAAGAAAATTAATACCATATTTTATTCCATTGTATCCTTTTCCTAAAGCTACAAAATTATTTTGAACAGCAATTCACCAAGACAGGTGCAAAGTCGGTCGTATGCCTATTTTACAGACACATAACCACTGACCCTCAAAGCTGTACTTTAACCTGGTGCTCAGTGGGCAATTAATCTCAGTGGGCAATTAATCAACATTTTTTGAGACCTCACTGCTGACACTGTCATTGCCGCTCCCACCGTATATTCCGCCAGATGAACAACTGGCTCAATTACACCATACAGCAACTTTACAGCCACAGATAAACCCTAGAAGATTACTGGCCAACCCCAGTGAAGGTTGAAAGAGCCCTAGAAAAAGACAACAGAGCCTGTGTGGGTGTGGAAAGCTCGGGTTCCTGGCTTCACACAAGCTTTACATTTAAAAGGCAGGGCACCGTCAAGTTGGTAACAACACAGGAAAAAACCTCAGGGACACATCAGGCCCATCCCTGCCCAACAGAAGAGGGCAGGGTCTAAAGTAACATCAAAATAGTATGGCACACTGCATCTGTCCAATTAATATGGAGGAGTCCTCGGTTGCATAAGCCTGTCTCAGAGAAAATGGGAAGCAAGTAAAAGCTTAGCAAGAAACATAAGATAAAGTCTTCACCTACAACAGAATGTGCAACAGAGGCAGAGCACTTCCTGAGCACAGAGGACATGAAACATGTCACAATACTTAGCCTCCAATCTTAAGAAAAGGGGAAGGAACCTATGGACAGATCCAACTACAAAGAGCAAAACAAGGCCAGGGGTCACTGAGTAGTCAGGAACTAATTAATGTGGAGCATGTCCAGCTGCAGTAAAACAACTAAAGCCAAAGCAGAAAAACTGAAAGTATAAATAAGGATCAAAATGTATAACAGATAATGTGAACTAGGAAGAAAGGGTACAAGGTGAAGAAGTGAGAGAGGTAGGGGGAAGGAAAGGGAAAGGAATAAATGAGAAAAGGAAAAAGTGGAAACAAAGTCTTTGTAAATAGGAAAGGGTGGAAGGATTGAACAGAGGGCAGGGGAATGAGGAAAAAAAATAAGAACCAAGATATATTATGTAAAGGTACAAATTCCCAATAATGTATGTCAGCATACTGTATACCTAAAATGCACCAATTAATGAAGGAAAAAAGCAACAGCAAACATTAAGTACCAACCAAAAGAACTTATAAATATTAATATAAAGACATCTCACAATAATCCCTTATGACCTACAGTCTCAATTTTAGTATTAATTCAACATTGTAAGGAAAAATTGACACAAGTAAGAGATTACTGGATATCTTTTCAATAGAAGGCTAGAACTTGTCTGTACTATCTGACCATACAAGAGTCTATGCTGGTTGACAGACTTTATTTAACTTGTGGAAAACTTTTAACAGAGTAAATATCTCTTTTCCAAAGTATGAGGAGGGGTCCTGGAAAGTGAGATACTACATGGCCCCTCACACGGGAATGGCTCAATCAGCTCTGTGGGTTTAAAATGACCAATGGGAACTCAGGCTCTCTGAACTAGTTACTCACATGCAGAATTCAAAGGAAACTGAGATTAAAAAAAAAAAAAAAAAATTACTCTGTAGTTTTACATTCCTTGAAACTCAGGAATTTAAAGGGGAGGGGCTGTATCTTTTAAGTAGGGAGGATGAGATAAAAAAAAAAAAAAAGATTACTCTGTAGTTTTACATTCCTTGAAACTCAGGAATTTAAAGGGGAGGGGCTGTATCTTTTAAGTAGGGAGGGGTTATATTCCCTGGGGCCTGAAGACTTCCTTGTCAAAGTACTAGTTTCACTGCCTATTGTTGTTTTAATTCTTTTCCAGGTACTTGATCACCCAACTCCATCTCAGGTCCTTTCTCTAGCCAGCTATCTATTCCTAGCCTAACTAAACACACTGTCTTTTACAATAACTGTACAGATGCTCCTGGACTTAAAACAGTTATGTCCATAACCCATTGGAAGTTGAAAACACCCTCAAACACACAACTGACCTTCAGAACATCCCAGCTTAGCAACGCCACACACTGTACAGGTTTCTTCTTCCTGGGATCCTGTGGTTGACCGGGGGATGTAGCTCACAGCTACTGTGATACTCACAACAGCATCCTGAGAGCTTATTCTGCCACATAGCACTAGCCCAGAACAAGATCAAAATGCAAAACCCAAAACTCAGTTTCTACTGAATGTATATGGCTTCACACTCCTACATCAAACCATTTAAAGTTGGGGGCTCTTTAAGAGGAGGACCCTTTGGGAAGTGATTAGCTGTGAGGATTCCTCACTCATAAGGGGGACTGGTGCCCATAGACAGTACTGACATCTCTCGCTGTCTCTCTCTTGCCAGGTGCCAGAACCTTAATACTGAATTTCCCAGCTTCCAGAACTGTGAGTCAATAAATTTCTGTTCATTACAAATAAGCCAGTCTCAGGTATCATAGCAGAAAAATGGACTAAGACACCTGAGAACAAGTTCTAACATCTTTTCTAGTTCCCAATTAGTTTCATGAGTTAAACAAAATCTTAATATGTTCATTTTATATCTGTATTGATATATGGGGAATAGATTTAACTCCCAAACCTACTAGATATCTAAAATACAAGTTTGTGTTTTCTAAAATCAAAGAATGAATTCTAGGAACAACAGAGGTTAAGAGTTGGAAAAACTGAGCCAGAGATTTAGCTCAGTGGTGCTGCCACCTGCCGTGCAAGCACCAAGGTCCTCAATTCAATCCCCAGTACCAAAAAAGAAGGGGTGGGGAGAAAGTAGGAAAAATTTATTGAGAAACAAAAAGGGGACCAGAAAATGGATGACCATTCACCCAACTTCTCAAAGGTGTTTTATGGGACAAAGCCACAATGTGAGGTGTGTTCAAGGTGGGACAAACTATAGTCAACTAGTAAGAAAGATTGCAAGCACAATTGCTTGGTAATACTGATCCAATGAGAAATCACAAGGTGGGCAAAACTATGATCAACCAATAAGATTATGACAAATATAGTCACTTAGGTAATACTGATTAAATGGGGATCCAAAGGGGATGCAAGTCATGCAGCAAGCCTGTAAGGAATGAGCAAGATTTTCAGTAAGGGGTGGGTCAGGATCTTTTCTGAAAGATCCAGGTCCCCATCAGATGATCCATAACTACTTAAAATACCAATCACTGCTATTCATCCTATGAGGGTGTGGTAGTTTCTCTTCTCTTACAATGATGGCTTTCAGTGAATGTGTCTCGACTATATTCCGGTTGGCTCTTAGGGCTGGCCCTGTCTGTCTACAAGATATCTAATTAATTTAACTATATACAATACTATCTTGATTTTACTTTTTTAAAAAATCTTTTAACAGAATCAATTCACACACACATCATCTCACTTTGAATAAGTCTCACTACTTATTAGTGTGCCCTGAAATCTAACCAATTTCACGAGGTTAGATTTGCTGAAACAGCACTACATTTTAATTTTTTTTTATTCCAACAATTGATTAACAATTCATTTTGGGCGGGGCATAGTGGCACACACCTGTAATCCCAGCACTAGGGAGACTGAGGCAGGAGGATCACTGTGAGTTCGAGACCGCCTGGACTACATAGTGAGTTCCAGGTCAGTCTCAACTACGTAGTGAGACCCTGTCTCAAAAAACCAAAAAAAAAAAAAAATCATTTTGGCAAGGGAAAGCCCAGTTTTCTTGTAGAAAGAAGGAAAGTTCTGGAAACCCCTCCCAAAAAACAGCCACAGGGCAAATGCTTCACTCTCTCATTGGCAAAACCCTGAGGAATATCCAGTAGTAAAATCCTAATCCCTGTACTTAACATGATCCTTCTTAAAGTCAGATTACAGCTAAAACTAAAGAGTAAAAAGAATGACCAACAGAGAGAATTGAGTATTAAAAACTCACACAAACCAAATGCTAATGTCCCCAACCACACACTCGTAATAACAAAAATGTTTCTAATCAGCTTCTCTTTAACTATGTAAGACTTAATCATTATCTACCCTCAGTCTTCTGGAAAACATTTTTGCTATTCTGAGGTTCCAAATGCACCAAAGGGTTTAGGCCATCAACAGCACACACCGGATCAAAGATTCCACCTGCAAAAGTCTCAAGGAAGCAACACATCCAATAGTCACTTAGCTGCCTTGGCAGACCCCAAACACAAGGACTCTAAGACAAGTAAATGAATGAACATCATTATAAGACATTATAACACCAAAACTTTCAACATGGCTAAATATTTCAACATGTAAAAATCTTGAAGCAATGAAGAAAATGTCTTGATTTCTCAATGCCTAGGTACACTTGATCTGAAGCTGAGAACTCGATCACACAGTAATATGATTGCCAGATTCTTCATCGTCAAGCACATCCATAACTCAAGTCATTCACAGGGTCCCTCAGCAGGCATTTACTTATGAACCTGAGTCACATAAGGTAGCTTTGGCTTTTGAAAAAGATCAGGAATTGCAGGTACCTGCTAGACCCAAAACTCTTACACCATGGGTTCCTGTTATTATAAGCACCTAAATTTGATAGAAATTAATAGGCAATTAGGACTAGGCCCTTGACGGAGTCAGTGCAGAAGGTGAAAACATCACAACTGTGGCTGGAAGCACATAAGGGCAAAACCTTGAGATTAAAATCATAATGGCCAGATTTACATGTTTCCCTAAGGGATAAACAGAAGCTTGAGATTATATGGTTCAGTACCACCCTTTTGGGATTTCCCATAGAAATAGACCATTATCTGGTCTTTACTGGGCCACCCTCTCCCACCTACTAAGACTAAGACTAAAGACTACAGATTTTGGAACCAAAATTAATGATGTTATCCATATGCCCTTGCTATTGCCCTGCTTCCCTACAGGATCAATATTAGCTAACAGGTTATACTTGTAATCTTCTTGTTTGTTTGTTTTTTTTTTATTTTTTGAGACAGGGTCTCACTATGTAGTTGAGACTGACCTGGAGCTCACTATGCAGCCCAGGCTGGTCTCAAACTCACATGATCCTCCTGCCTCAGCCTCCTGAGTGCTGGGATTACAGGTGTGTGCCACCACGCCTGGCCACATACTTGTAATCTTATTGGTTGATTATAGTTTGCCGATGTTGTACCCACAAGACCTAGCGGCATATATATAGAGATCTATCTATCTATCATAGATAGATATATCTCCACACTGCAGGCAATTAATTCAGTGAACATTTAATGTGCACGGATCACTGTGGCCAGCAATGATTGAAGATAAAGTTAACTCTCCTCCAGAACTTATCCTTTATGGGGTTGGGAGGGACCAACACACAGGTCTAGAACATAAGCCACCAACATTAAGTACTTAAACATATGGAAACATGTAAAAGATGGAAATAACAAATGGCCTTTGAATCAACCTTGAAAGGCATGTATTTTTAATAGATGCCCCCAAAACACCAAAGGAGGTGTCCCCATGATCACTTAAATGATGTGGCTGGAATCCAGTGGATTTCAGAAGGAATCCCAACTGAGATGAGGGTTTGAAGATTATTTAACTAAATGTGAACTATAAAACAAAAGTCTGAGAGATGTGCAACCAAATATTAATGTAAATATGCAGCAGAATAACTTCAATATTGAGCTTTTCTAATTGTATAGGTGTTTTTATCCATCTATTAACAATTAAAGTACTTCAAAATTTGTCACTTTACAATTTCAGTTTACTGTCCAAATTTTATAGCTGTGCCACTGAATCACAAACTTAGAGAAAACTACATATTTTATATAATATCTCTTAATTCCTACAGAAAATCCTATTGCTAACCAGAGTTGCAACAAGCTGATGCAGAAGAAATAGGCAGAAAAGACAAGGAAAATTTGTAATTTTTAAATTGTACTTTTCAAAAAAACACTGCAGCTTTAGGACACAAACCCAAGAAAATCCCTACAGGTCTTGGGGACAATAAGCCTATAAACCTGACTTTCACCTACAAATGCGCTCCCTCCTAACAACCCCTGTTCACTATGTATTTCAGCTTCAAACACAAGCAAATGCTTTGCATTTTAGCCCACCAAATGGGCAAACCCAACAGACCCTAGAATATACATCCTAGATGACCCATCTTAAAGAAAACCCCCAAATCCTTGGGCCATCGGCTTTCATCAGTAAACTGAATCCCCTCTTTCCATAGATTCAAATGTTCCACAGAATTCACTCATAACCCCAAACTAAAATGCATCTCTTCTGAACACCCACACTCCAAGTGTGTACTTTTCTTTCCTAAATGAATCTTTCCCTTGCATGCCTCTTACAGACCAGTCCTGAAAATTCTTTTTTTTGCATCAGGAGTCAGCTAAGTTACTCTGTGGGGAGGGTGAGTCCAAGGTCCCCATACCCACTCTGGGAACCTCCTTGGACCCTGTCCACTGACAAAGCTACACCAGAAGGGAACCGGTGGAAGGGCACTGGAACAAGAGTGAGTTGGTCTAGCCATTCCTTGTACAGTACAGGCTGAACCACAGGCTCTCACACTGGCCCCTCCCACATAACCAGGCTGTAGTGAAGCTCAAAGGACCCGCTGGGTAACTTTGTGCAGTGAAGCATTAAGGAAAAGGGGGAATCTAATACCATTACCTCAGAAGTAGAAAACAGGGACAAAAAGTTAACAAGATCAGGAAACTCCACCATAGGGCAGAAATACTCCACTTGGCTCCCGCCCGGGGTGCTGTAATTAAGATAATTAATTTGGCTGGTGACAGCAAACACACTTGGGTTAAAAGACTCCAGCCACGAACAGTACCACATCTGTTACTTAACGAACTTAAAAGCAAACTTTAAAATGTAGGGCCACGACCGCATTGAGTAATTGCTAAATATCTCTGCAGTTCCACCTCAAAGACCGGCACCCTCCAAGTGTCAAGTGAGCACCGAGGGCTGTCAAAGAAAGAGGTTTAAACCCTGGGATTCCCCTACTGGCCTTGGGCCAGGACACTCAGGAAAACGCGCGCCGAGCTTGGAGATAAATTTCAAAGCACTTTATAAACTGGCTCTCTGCCGTCCTCCTAGAACCAGAAGTAAAGACCTCCATACACCCGCAAGGCTCACCATTTTCTCTTTCATGACAAGGAAGCCCCGCAGCAAGTGCCTCTAATTCAAACGTCAGGCACTGCCTGGCTCCACTTTGCAAAGTATTCTGAAGCCAAGGGATCTTTGGAAAGCTCGATTTTTAGAGTACTTATTTCCAATCAATTTCACATCTAAAAGGTCTTTCAGGAGCAGTTGCGAGGTCGGAACTCGGTCGAGTGTTCACCCTCCCCGCTCTCCCGCAGCCTCCGCCTCCCAAGAACCAGGCGAGCCCAGCAGAACTCCGCCCGCGCCCGCGAGCACCACGAACCCTTCACGCCCCGAGCTACTCACCCTCACATGGTTCTTCACGGCCACATGGCCCGCCAGTTGCTTGGCCTCCTCGGCCTTGGACATCGTGGAGGGAGCCGGGCAGAAACTGTTACGGACCCGGCCGCTGGCGCCTGTGCCTCCCGAGCCGCCGACAGACCCAAACTGTACACGCCCCGGCAGCTGCACATGGGAGCCCGGGAGGCCCCAAAGGTTCCCGCCTCCGCCAGAGGCCGCACCCCCGGCCCGCCCGGGCAGCGGGGCTAAAACCCGCCCGTAGAGGGTGCTGAAGGGCCCGGGGCGCTGCATCCCGACGCCTCGCTCCAGCCTCTGCAGCTGTCCCGCCCCCAGCTCGTCCGGAAATCTGATCATTCTTGCGCACATTCCGCGCGAGCTGCTGCGCGGGGCTTGCCGGGAAATGTAGTTCTGGGGAATCAGCGACACTTAGCCGCGCCGCAGCCGAAACTACTAGCCCTACAATGCCTCACGACCGGAAATGCAAATACCCGCGACGGTCATAGCCTGCGGTGACGCCCTACCTAGAGAGGGTATGTTTACACCACAATTAATTCCTGTCTCCTCACGTATCTGAAAGAGGGATATTAGCCCTGTCCATATACGTGGCCGTGGGCGAGACCTCAAGGCAGTAGTTCTGTCTTCAAGGCCTTCTTAGGAGGTCAGTTCCTCTAGATTCACTTCCCAGAGAAACGAACCTGCGATACCGGTGCCCTCTGAAGTCCATCCTGGACCCCCTAAGACTGGGACCACAAGTGCAGATTCCCCTTCCTTAAATGTCTCTCTGAACTTACTGATTGTGGGAGACTGCCTGCAAGACAGCTGGCTGCTTGCATTGCAGTTCCCTGAGTGAAGGAGTTGTTATGTTGTAAGTTCTGATTGGCCGTGATCGGCTGCCATCTTATGGCATTATTTATAATAACTATTTTGTAGAGCTGAGTTTCGCTTTCCAGAAAAAGCACTTGTTTCTTGTAAATCATGTGTACTCTGTGAAGCCATAATTGTGGCCTTGTACAGTTATCCTTGAGATTGTTTTTCATCCTTGAAGCTGTTTTTACCATCATATTATTGCTTGATATAAGTGTGAGAGCCGTCTGGCAGTAGTAGTAGTAGTAGTAGTAGTAGTAGTAGTAGAAGTAGTATTAGAAGTAGAAGTAAAAGAAGAATAAAGAAGAAATCTGTTTGAATCTGAGCATGGCTCAGTGTGTTTACTCTCGGTGAATCCTCTCAGGTTTGGGGCCTGCTGGCAGGACCCCAACGTCGCGGCTCGCGACAAGTGGCGCCCGAACAGGGACCTGAAGGA